GCATGCGAGAGGCCTGAGCTGCATGCCGTTGCCGGAGTTCTTGTGTTAATGCAGCAGAGAAAAGAGGAAGAGTTTGTATTCATGGCTATCTATAGATAGGAGTGGTGCCTGTGACATAGCAGCTGCTCCCCGGGGAGCGGTGACACATTAACCTTCAGCCAGCTGTCTTGGTCTGCCGCTTAAACATGAGCTCACACACTCAGAGAGAACACACTTGTATTAGCAAAAGCTTAAGAGAATGAATTAAAACCACCCATAACGTCTATGAAGTTCGGGGATTCGGTGTATATAAAAGCAGAGAATTCACTTCTGGCCAAAACACATCCATTAACGTGTACGCTCACACCCATACACACCCCTACACATACTGGACCATCATCTGATCTGCACTGGGACTCCAGGGATCAGCACCGCGTGGCTACAGCTGTTTCACAGCGGGTCAGGTTACCCTGCCACCGCCATCCCCAAAGCCTTCACCAAGGGAACGACCCCATGTCAAAACCAACACACACGGGCACCGGGCACACTGCGCCCAAACAGCTCCCCGCCCTCCTGCAGGTACCAGGCTCCACACGAGGTACTTTCAGCCGCAAACCGACACGCCTCCCCGGAGCTCCTGGATGATGCGCGACATCGTGTAAGGAAGCTCAACAGCTCGTGGCTGTCAAATTGAAACCTGCTCACAGGAAATGAGAGAAAGTGCTACAGCAGCTCCTTTAATCAGCCTTTAGCAAAACAGTGTAAACTGTAAACAGTGACAGTAGGAATGGGTTTCGTACCACAGCAAGAACTGACGCTCACAATAAATGCTTGTTTCTTTACTTGTCAGAGGGTTTCTCTGATTTAAATCTTTTAACTGCATTTAAACAACGTTTTTGTTCGGCTGCTAAACAACGTTTAAGAAGTTTGGTGGTTTGGTCAGTAGAAAAACACAGATCTTCCTCAAAATAAAGTATTTAAGAGAATATTGTTTCAGTATCGGCACTAAATCCAAAAACATCCCGCTGTGACAGACTTTATTTTCTTTATTTGAATAGAAGGCAGGGTGCTAGTTAAATATCAGCGATTACTATCTCACAAATTGGATATTATGTTACCAGCAGATGAAACGATTAGCTGATATATTGATAAGTGGATCAAAAGAAATTAATCGGAAACCGTTCCAACTTCTCAAATGTGTAAATTTGGAGGTTTTCTTAGTCCTTAGTGACAGAAAACTGAATATTTGGGGCAAAAACAAGACAATGTAAGATGAGCTTTAGGTTCTTCTGATGGACATTTTCCTGTATTTTTAGACATTTAACAGAAAGTAATTGTCTGATTAATTGATCACTGGAAATAATCATTAGTTAAAGTTATTGTTGGAGACTTTCTTGGTTTTTTGTTGCTGTTTCTGAGCAAACTATAATAAAAAAAAACCTATCAAAAGAAATGATTAAAGTGTCCGTTTTATACATACGAAAACATAACAGAGGTGCATATTTGAACTTATCTGAACCTTTATCACACATGCCCAGCGTCAGCAGACTTTGAATAAGGCTTTAAGAAGCACACAAACAATAAATGTGGCAATAAATATGGAACCAACGTGGGCTCCTGGGTGTCTTTACACCAAAATGAACTTCCTCAGCAGTTGGCCATGAGCATCCCTGCCCCCCTCCAGAACAATGATGTCTTCCTTTTTGAACATCCTGCTAACTTCACACTCATCTCTCTCACACACACACACACACACACACACACATATACATACACAGGTTACCTCCCTGTAGGAAGAAGACATAAGTACAGGAATTCATTAAAAGCTGCCCTCTTGGGGTGAGATTCCTAGAAACTGCAGCACTGTTTCGTCAAGCCGTCCCCCCCTCCACCCCTCCACCATGCAGCAGGCTCCTGTCCTGGCCTCCCTACAACAGCTGAAACGGCTTAAAGCTGTTCAAACTGGACTGTGTGTGAGTTCAGAGGCTGGTACAGGTTAGTGGGCTTAACGTAGTTTCAGGAAGAAGAAAAAATAAATAAAACAAATCTGCACCAGAAAGACAGGACACCTCTAAAAAAAAAAATGTGGGTCAGGGAATGCTTTGGTTGCAACTATGCAAGACGATACACGCAGAGCCACCTCCTCATGCAAGTTTAGTGACAAACCAACCAGACCAGACTGTTAGTGTTGCTCTGTGCCATTCATCAACAAATGTACAACCATAAAGGAGAGCAGGAGGAGGAGGAGGAGGCACGATAAAGCATTAACCACTCTGAACTTAAGTTTACCGTTGCATGGTTGCAGTTAACCTCCCAGTTTGTATGTTTTCATAGTTAAATGCGACCATTTACCGCTGAATAGCTCACACAACAAGCGGCTGCATTCACACAGACTAAGGGGTTGTTGTTTGTTTGTTGGTTGGATGGTTGGTGGTGCAGGGGGGGGGCTGTGAAGTAAACATTGTTTAAGCTCCGTTTTGTGTCAACCCAGGATGGTGTAATGTTTCTTGTGTCAGCGCGGCTACAACCGGTGTTATACAGCTCAAACATTCACAGAAAACTACGCTACAAAAAAGACACAAACACATAGAAGAGGAGTCTCACCAGAAACGATGAGCGTTGCTCCGACCGGAGTCCCCGACCTCGGAGCTTCTTCTCAGGCCGGATGCCGTCTTTCCCTCCGAGCGTGAAAAAAAAAAAACAACAAAAAAAAACCTGCTTCTTCTTTGTGGTTTCCGTGTGGTGGTTGCCTATACTTTCTGCTTTTCAATGTCGCTTATACGGCGTCCAGCAGCATGGCGGCGGCTTCTCACGGCTTTAAAGTTTCACTCCCGGGGAGAGAGAGGACGAGCCGTCGGTGTGTTTCTCTTTTCTTTTTCTGGTCTTGTTTCGGTCTGAGAGAACCATGGCAGTGTGAGAGAGACGATGGTGATTACTGGTTGATCTGAGTGTGTCCTCTGCCTGCTGCCACCGCACAGCCGTGTCATCGAAACGTTGCGGGAGGGAGGGGAGTGGAGGGAGAAACAGCGCCACCTACCGGTCNNGGTCGGTGTTGCGGGGGACAGAGGGGGCTGCCAGTGCGGCCTCACAGCGGCCCCTGGTGGAGGAAATGCGGTAGTGCTACAGATACATATATGTTTATATATCTGTGTATATGTGTATATATATATATATATAAAAAATAAAAAAATAAAAAA